TTTAAAAAAATATTTAGTGGTTTAAGATTTATCAACTTTTAGAAATGTCATCATTTGGTGCCCTAAATGCCAATATTAGTAAAATAATCATCCCAACAAAAGTTTCTATTTTTTGTGTTTCAACTTTACCTCTGCATCATCAAAAGTTTTAATCAATCATTTATTTATTTAATATTTAAAATGCTTTATGATATCAAACGGATCTTCAGTGTATGCATTATTATATGTTTTGCGTATGTATTTTATGATTGTATGAAGAATCAGCATACTATTGGGCTTCAGTGGGCTGCATAAAACATTCAAAACTGCCTATCCTTCAAATTAAGTTCATACTTAATACTGCGATTCTCGAAAACTAAATCAAAACCGCGCGGTGGGTGACTTTGGTAGTCAATTGATCAAAAAACTTATCTTTAAAAGAATTATTTCATTTCCAGAGGGTACCCGAAAGTAATTCTAAAGCAAAGTATCGCATTGCGAAAAAACATGTGAATTTTGGAATTTTTATGCAAGAAAAATGTACATCTTGTTGAAAAAATAATTTCATGGCTTTATTATACATGGTTTTGAGTGTATAAATTAATTTTTACAATTTCCTAAAATACAAAATGGCGGCTGTACAGGGCAACGAGCATCAGACGGTTTTTGAAAGAGGCTTGTACGGCCCGCAACTTTTTGTCGCCGCAAGTGATCTGAAACATAAGAATCGAAAATATTCTTAATATTTGAACTAAAAGAAAGGGAAGTATGTATGGATTTTAAAAAATATTGAGTTTTAAAAAATTGGCGTACAATTTTGCAAAAAAAAAAATTTTCTCAAAAAAAATTGCACAAAAGTGGCTGTAAAAATTTGAGTTATCAAATTTCCAACAAAATCGTACGTAGTTCTCTAGAAAATAATGTTGTAAAGCGTGTACCCAAATTTCAATTTGATCGGATAAAAATTGACGGAAAAATCGTGCGGGCCGTATCAACAAATGCGGTTTCGAGAAAAACGCGTTTAAAGTTTGAAAACTACATTAATCGTACAGTGGGGCGTCTCATGTCCATACTCGTAACTCGGGAAAAAAAAATTATTTTCAAAAATCACTTTGGGACGTTATTCTAGACATGTTTTATTACTATTTTAGCTAAAAAAAAATGGATTTTTTCAAATTTCTACATAGGTGTTACCCCTTAATGCCCCGTAGAGCAAATATCGAAAAGTTTTTTTGCACAGTCTATATGGGTACTCCAAACTGTTGAGCAGTACTCCAGGATTGGACAAACTAATGAAATAAATATGATCTTTGTGACATACGGAACATTTCCTTTAACCACATTTTTATAGGTCCAAGCACTTTCCTGGCTTTATTCACAATGGATAAATATGGTCAAAAAATGTATGTTTTGGGCCAAGAAGGACGCCAAGGTCATCAATTTGTCTAATTGTAGTCAACTCACAACCACCCACAGTATACGTTGCATACCTGTTGGTTGGTCCGATAGAATTTCATTATTTTGCATTAAGCGCTATTAAGTCCAATAGATTTTTCCAACACCATGTTTGATAGGCGTTTAGATCAATAGGCATAACTTAACGTCATCTGCGCACAAAAGGACACGCGACTTTGTCAAAACTAGAGGGAGATCGTTAATAAATAATCTAACAAGAAAAGAAGCAAACGTCGGCAATCCGAAGTTTATATACCCTTGCCGCTATTGCCAAGATTAAATATTTTTTAAACATATAAATTTTGATTTATATGAGTGTATGATTAAAAAATTTAAACGTATGACGATTTTTAGCTGAAATATTCGATCGTTCCTATGGCAGCTATATGAAATCGCTTTTTCCGATTTTAATAAAAGTAAGAAGAAGTTCTGAAACTTTAAATCATTTCTAAGTTGGTTTCCAGGATATCAACAAAAATCAAAGACATTCGCACGCTACGACTTTTTGGGAAATCAGTTCAAGCACTGATTTTAGCAAAACGTGATCGCAGATTTTAATAAAATTGATTTTAAGATGTTATAAATTGATCGTTCTTAATAAAATATTTCGTTTGACCTTAAAATATGAAATAATTTTTTTAATTGAATTTTAATCACTGTTATGCGACACCCTTCTTTTTATGTTGTTTTTGTACTTTTGTAGTAGACGTGTATAAAATTTATTTTAATTATTTTCATTAAAGTACAATTTTCCTTTTAACTTAACTTTTAATGTCAAACTTTAAATTTGTGTAGATGTCATAAACTTAATTGCAACTCCATTTATGTTGTTTTGCGTTCATTGTCCTTTTCACCTACATTAAAAAAATATATTAAAAATAAAGTAATAAAATAAAAATAAAACGATTCCTTAATCTTCTACTTTTTTGTAGCACGCGACAAACTTTTAAAAAGTTTAAAAATCAATGCACAGCTTTTACTAAACCAAATTTTTATACCCTTGCAGAGGGTATTATAATTTCAGTCAGAAGTTTGCAACGCAGTGAAGGAGACGTTTCCGACCCTATAAAGTATATATATTCTTGATCAGCATCACTAGTAGAGTCGATCTAGCCATGTCCGTCTGTCCGTCTATCCGTCCGTCTGTCCGTCCGTCTGTCCGTCCGTTTCTACGCAAACTAGTCTCTCAGTTTTAAAGCTATCTGCATGAAACTTTCCCAAAAGTTGTCTTTCTATTGCAGGTAGTATATAAGTCGGAACGAGCCGGATCAGACGACTATAGCACATAGCTCCCATAGGAACAATCGAAAAAATAAATAAAAAATTATAACTTTGCTGTTTTTTAATTTTTTTTTAGTTCTTCGACATATAGTAATGGTTGAATATTTCAGAATTTCGATTTAAATTTCATCAAAATCGGACGACTATATCATATAGCTCCCATAGGAACAATCGGAAAACAAATACAAAAAAAATATTACTTTGCTGTTTTTAAATTTTTCTCTTAGTTCTTCGACATATAGTAATGGATACATTTTTCAGAATTACGGTTTAAATTTCATCAAAATCGGACGACTATATGATATAGCTCCTATAGGAACAATAAAAAATATATAAAATAACTATCTAATAATTGAGCTGCAAATCATCATAGCTTCAAGTTTTTAAACACATACGCAAGTAAATCATAATTTTAATGTTTTCAAAAATATTTAATTCTTGCAATAGCTGCAAGGGTATATGAACTTCGGCTTGCCGAAGTTTGCTTTCTTTCTTGTTTGTTTAGTTCTTCGACATATAGCAATGCTTAATTATTTCAGAATTATGGTTTACATTTTATCAAAATCGGACGTCAATATCATATAGCTCCCATAGAAATAATAAAAATATATAAAATAACTTTCTAATAATTAAGCTGCAAATCATCATAGTTTCAATGTTTTTCAGCATATACTCAAGTAAATCATAATTTAAATGTTTTCAAAAGTATTTACTTCATGCAATAGCTGCAAGAGTATATGAACTTCGGCTTGCCGAAGTTTGCTTTCTTTCTTGTTTGTTTAGTTCTTCGACATATAGCAATGCTTAATTATTTCAGAATTATGGTTTACATTTTATCAAAATCGGACGTCTATATCATATAGCTCCCATAGAAATAATAAAAATATATAAAATAACTATCTAATAATTAAGCTGCAAATCATCATAGTTTCAATGTTTTTCAGCATATACTCAAGTAAATCATAATTTAAATGTTTTCAAAAGTATTTACTTCATGCAATAGCTGCAAGGGTATATGAACTTCGGCTTGCCGAAGTTTGCTTTCTTTCTTGTTTTAAATTGGTTTGTTGACAAAATATTTGTCTGGACCCCAAATTGTACGTTCATTGGTCTAAAACCTAGGATGCACTGACCACATATGCTATTTGGCACTGTTGCACACGACAGCGATAGAAACGGATGAGCTGATAATACGTGACTATGAAACGAATTGTTTCTTTTACATTTTTTTATATTCTTTGAATAATTAAAAAGCGCCAATTTTCTCTTTAAGAAAATGAATAAAAAAATACCTGCAATATAAATGTTCAAAAGAGAAGTTTCGCAATTGTTCGACTTTGCAGCGAAATATTTAAAAATGTTTTATGAGTAAATGCAAAATTTGCTTATGATAGTTAAACTGAAATATAAAAATATGTGAATAGAACATACTTATATGGACTTTGAATTTTTTGGATGCTGTTGACCTTTCTCGAGAATTATCCAGGAATCTACTGGAATTTCCTCAGGAATCCTCCCAGAGTTCCTAGTAAAAATTATATATAAAAGATTTTTATTGAATTTAAATATTTATTTATTGTATTTATTATTTATTTGTTTGACTTTTTTTCGCTTTCGTTATTTTTAAGGCAGGCTAGGGCGTGGGCGGGACACTTCTCTGCTGGCTGCTGGCCTTCCAACGCACTTATGATTTCTGTAAACAAAACACATATATATGTATATTAAAACAAAATACAACATCTGCAATATTTTACACAATTTTACATTCCGATCAAGACCGAAAAAAAGAAGGAAAGATTTTAAGGGCCTTTTTACCATTAAGCCCATCGATGTTACAGGCACAAAGAAATGCATCTGCCAAAATACCTTTGATAGATTTTGTCTCAATCTTGACAAAAACGCAGAATTATTTGTACGTTCATCATGATCATAAATATTTTACTTACATAATGCTTTTTAGAGGCAGAGCTTATTTTGGACTCTACCGCCACCAAATCCTCTTGTGTTTCAACTGGAAACGTCTGCTCCACTGCTACGTCATTTGCCTTTCCTTTTAAAAACACCGTAAGCATGGCTGTCGTGCTTTCAGCCAGCTGCCTGTTGTTCGCAGACTCCAGTAAGCAGTCGACGACGAGGAGCGAAGCCGCAGAGCAAAGCGACGGGGAGCGACGCCGCAGAGGACAACGACGAGGAGCAGCAGTAGCAGTAGCGGAAGAGCCGCGAGCCTTAATTTAAGGAGCCGAATCCCAACACAACCCTTGCGTTATCTTTGCTCAAAGGCAATCATGGAGAAGCTAGCGGACCAGGTCAGGCAGAGGAGGCAGACATACGGACACGGACGGATCGTAAGGAGCTGCCTCTCAAAGATAATGGGCAACTCGAAAGCGGAAGAAATGCAACTGTCCGCCACAGTGCTCATAGGTGACGCAAATATCAGGGCACGGGGACACCGGCGCCTGAAGGAACTTCAATACTTAGGGCATCGCATTACAGACCAGGGCATAGGGACGGATCCGGAGAAGGTATCAGCGTTGCTAAAATCACCGGCAAATATTTCTCGGCCACTGAAAAGGAATTTTAGGAATTGTGTGGGCCATAAGGAAATTAAAGCCTTACCTGGAGGGATACCTCTTCAAAGTGAGAGAGCCCAACTGAAAGAATCGCACGATAGGCACTGGAGCTCCAGCAATACGACTTCGAAATCGCGTACGAAAAGGCCAGCTGAATATTGTGGCGGACGCACTGTCACGGCAGCCCTTGCCTGAAACCTGTCGAAGGATGAAGACGAAGCCACCAGGTCAACCGACGGAACAAGCCGAATGTAGCTGGATAAGGGACATGAGTGTCAAGATAGCCCAGAACTCCCAAAAAATCCCCGGACTACTTAGTGGAGGCCGACCGGCTGTACCGGCACATTTCTCACAGAGCGGGCAACGAGGATGTGATCGCATGGAAGCTAGATCAAGGCAACGAGTCATTGCTGAGAATCACGATATACCGAGGGCCGGACACATGGGCAGCCGGAAGACAATCGCGAGGGTGGCAGCGAGGTACCATTGGCCGGGCATGCACCGCGACATCATGAAGTATGTGTCGAACTGTGAGAGCTGCCTTAGGTAAGAGCCCAGTCAGTGAATTTTATTCGTTTAACAACTGTAAAATTTTATTACAATTCGTTAACATAAAGAAAAGTAAAATCTAGTAAAATTATATACCAAATAGTAATAATAGTAATCCAAATTATTTCCAATATGCTGCCTTTAATTTGACTTAAGAATTATCTATCGCAGATTTTGCGATTTGCTTTATGCAAATATTATATTTATATTTATTGATATATTGTTAACAATGAACTGCTAACTTACACATATATTCTAAAAATAAATATAACTTAATCTAACTAAATTTTATATGATTCAAGAAAAGCATAAATGTTTGATGATATCCGATCAATAGAATTTTCCAAAGAGATTGCAGGATATACTGCATTATAGTTTGAACAAAGCACCCGATAAGGCTCATGAAGGGCAAAGTTGGATTTATAAATTGGCAAGTGAATAGAGTGAAAAGTACGAGTAAATCTTGAGGGAACAGCGATGTTAATATAGCTAAGGAGGAGGCCAGAATTCACGATGTTTTAAGACTTTATATCAATTAACATTAACCTTGAAGAGTAAGGTGGCAAACGCGTCACCGGGTCCCAATTCAGCTGTCGATGAGCAAATAATAAAAATTGCTTTTGAACTGACTCGATTAATTTTTGTTGATCAATATATTTAAACATTCGTACCATCACACGTCCGAAGACCAGGTCTGCCGGTACGCTGGACACGTCTCGTTTATGCGCATCGACTTCCGCTCGGTGGTGGTCAAAGTCCCGGGGTTACCTGCAGAGGGACCCTACGTCGACGAACCGCCATCCCCGCCTCTGTCCCGGCGTTGGAAAACCGCAGAGTGGCAGATCCCAACGATGATGTCGAGACATGTCGAGACATGTTCAGACATCCCCAGTCGTGGAGCGGGTCAAGAAAACGAAAATGTCTAGCCGGAGTACTCAGACCTCTCCGTCTAACCAAGTTCGGGTGCGGGATGTAGAACCCGTACAGGAAGCAGGACTCCCCGAACCCAGGTGCGAACCCAGGGTCATAACGTCAGACTCCCCGGATCCCGTATACCTGGCGGGATTCGAACTGATTTCCGACAGTGAGGACGACGAAGGGGAAAGGCCATTATTCCGCCGTTGCTTCCAGACATCGCCGCAGCAGGATCTGCAGGACGTGAACACCTCGGCCAGATCTCGCCCAGATTATCCCCATCGAGGCGACGCTGGACAGCGGTGGGACGGGGCCGTAGATCCCCAGCACTTCCCCAACTATGCCCATCCGATCGACCAACTTACCGAATGGGAAGATCGCTTGGTGGACCAGGTCCTAATGGATATTTCGGAGATCGATTCGACCGAATCCGCCGCCAGGAATACCCCACCAAGTGTTGCGATGACGGACGAAGTACAAGCCGTACCGACTTCCGCACTGGAGTTGGCGGAATCCACAGGAGGGGAGGATGACCTCTGCCCATTGCCGGAGGGCTGGATTGGTGGTTTGCGTTACCTACCTAGGCGTATTGTCCAGGATATCGAGAGGAAGGTAGCGGCCCGGGCCGGCCGCGGACGCCGAGTTCGCATAGCCATAGGAGGCGACGGACTCCGCTTCATCGTCACCATCAAGAGCGACGGGCGCCTCTTTATCGCGCCAAGGGAAGAAAGGGGGGTGTCACGTACACACCTAGGTGTACGATACAATTTTTAGTGGTAGTATGTAAGGTTATAGGTGTAAGCGACTGATCATGAATATTAAATATTAAGTTAGTAGGATGTAAGTTATAGGTGTACGTGACGCATAATGAATAATAAATATTAAGTTGAAACTGAATATTAAGCCGTAGTTAAGCTAAGTTCCGAACCCGAGTGGCAACGCCAGCCGATATTTAGTGAGTAATGGAAAATACTAGAAATTAAGGAAGATACTAGAAATCCCGAAAACGAGAAAAAGGGAGCGTAGGGAAGGTGGTCACACACCGATCGAGCGGGCGCTCTCTCGTGCCGGAACAGTAAAACGGAGCGGACGTGTCTCCCGCAGCGATTTTGCCGGATAATCCGAGTGACGCCTCGACCGCGCGACGGCACGCGGTCAGTGAACAAGTGGGCTGATTAGTGTTTTGAGGTTAGTGTACACAAAATTCCTCTCCGTTAAGTAAAGACGGTGTAGCGGACTCGTAGGAAGATAGTAGGTAAATAAAATAACCTAGAAAAATAATAAAGAGAAGTAAATGATTGAATTCCCCGGTCGTGATTCTTTTTGTTCGTAGTATCCTAGCTTCCTTCCTCGTAGTGCATGTGGCCTGTACGCGGACATCCGTCCCGTCTGGTCTAGTATCCTAACCTCCCTCCCCGTGGTATTTGAGACCTGTACGCGGACACCCGGCCCGTCTGGTCTAGTATCTTGGTTCCCCACATCGTAGCATTTGAGACCCGACGTGGACACCGGTCCCGTTCGGTCTAGTATCTTAGATTCCCCTCCTCGTAGTGCATGTGGCCCGTACGCGGACATCAGTCCCGTCTGGTCTAGTACTCTAGCTCTCCTCCTCGTAGCGCATGCGACCGGCACGTGGACACCTGGCCCGTCTGGTCTAGTATCCTAGTTTTCCTCCTCGTAGCGCATGCGACCGGCACGCGGACACCCGGCCCGTCTGGTCTAGTACCCTAGCTTTTCCCCACGTAGTGTAGGCGGCCGGTACGCGGACACCCGGCCCGTCCGGTCTAGTACAATAGCTTTTCTCTTCGTAGTGCATTTGACCTGCGCGCGGACATCATTCCCGACTGGTCAATCATACCGCCATTCTTTTTCCTCCAATCCCCCCCGCGTCTGACAAATCCTACCCGCTTGGCCTCGCCCGAAGGTCCAGCCCGGTGGATTTTTGGCGTACGATACGTCGAAAACGACTTACACGCGACGCAACCCCCCGGTCCTACTCTCGCGAAATAGTATCCTGGCTTGGCCTCGCCCGAAGGTCGTGACTTACGTGTCTCAATCGCGGAAGTGATCAGCGGGACTACCCGGCGTTCCCATACTCGCGAAACCGTTCGTCTGGCTTGGCCTCGCCCCAAGGTCCAGCCCGTAGAATTTTTAACCCAGGAGCAAGATACGGCGCGACCAACTCCGACATTACTCTCTCTCCCCGGCGTCCATGAGAACCTTCGGCGTGACCCCCCCAAACGACTCATTCACTCGTTGAATGAAACTCTCTAGTCCGGTGTTTCGGTGATTTACAAATTTCTTGTAAAGGACTCCTGGATCTGACTGAGATCTGTTCCCCGGCCAGAGAGCATCCTTACAAGATTCAGGTTAACAGCTTATACACTGCGCGAAATGTGCTGAAAAAATTTAATTTGCACGCAATTGCACTATTGCTCATATGGAGGATTTATAAGATATAGACTTCCTATTGTAACGATATTTCACCTTAATTATGAAATATATTAAAAAATACGATTTGAAAAGATTCATGTCAACAGCTTTTAAAATACGCAAAATTCGGTTGAAAAAAATTATTTTTAAGCGATTTTACTTATTTGCTCTTATAGGAGCTACCCGATTGGCACGCTTTTTCACCCTAATTATGGTATGCATTAAAAAATGCGATTTGGAAAGATTCAGGTCAATAGCTTATACACTGCGCGAAATGTGCTGCAAAAATTTAATTTGAACGCAATTGCACTATTGCTCATATGGAAGATTTATAAGATATAGACTTCCTATTGGCACGATATTTCACCTTAATTATGATATATATTAAAAAAATACGATTTGAAACGATTCAGTTCAACAGCTTTTAAAATACGCAAAATTCGGTGAAAAAAATAATTTTTAAGCGGTTTTACTAATTTGCTCCTATAGGAGCTACCCGATTGGCACGCTTTTTCACCCTAATTATGGTATGCATTAAAAAATGCGATTTGGAAAGATTCAGGTCAATAGCTTATACACTGCGCGAAATGTGCTGCAAAAATTTAATTTGAACGCAATTGCACTATTGCTCATATGGATGATTTATAAGATATAGACTTCCTATTGGCACGATGTTTCACATTAATTATGATATATATTAAAAAACACGATTTGAAAAGATTCAGGACAACAGCTTTTAAAATACGCGAAATTCGGTGAAAAAAATAATGTTTAAGCGGTTTTACTAACCTGCTCCTATAGGAGCTATCCGATTGGCACGTTTTTTCACACTAATCATGGTATGCATTAAAAAATGGATTTATAAGATATAAACTTCCTACTGGCACGATATTTCACCTTAATTATGATATATATTAAAAAATACGATTTGAAAAGATTCAGGTCAACAGCTTTTAAAATACGCGAAATTCGGTGATTCGGCGATTTGGAAAGATTCAGGTCAACAGCTTATACACTGCGCGAAATTTGCTGAAAAAAATTAATTTAAACGCAATTGCACTATTGCTCATATGGAGGATTTATAAGATATAGACTTCCTATTGGTACGATACTTCACCTTAATTATGATATATATTAAACAAGAAAGAAAGCAAACTTCGGCAAGCCGAAGTTCATATACCCTTGGCAGCTATCGCAAGAATTAAATATTTTTGAAAACATTAAAATTATGATTTACTTGCGTATATGTTTAAAAACATTGAAGCTATGACGATTTGCAGCTTAATTATTTGATTGCT